GGTTAATTAAAATTAATTGATATCATTGACTTCCATTATGGAGAATAAATTGAACACATGAAGTGATACTAACGATACTGAAAAATATTGCAAAAGCGTGCAGAAAGACATAGGTATGTACATACATATACTAATAAAGAATATATGTATGTATGTAAGCAGCGAGAATAAATGCGAAAACCTTGCTTTAAATTAATAGAGTGTTTTTTTTTTTTTTACTTTATAGTCGGTGCTATTAATGCGTCGCACCCTGTAAATAATAAATTTATTCTTTACAATCTGTTTTTTGTTGATTAACTTATTTAAATATTTTCTGTGTGACATGTTTTTATTATTTCTGTGTTTTTATATAATTATAAAAGTTTTAATTTAAAAATTAAAAAAAAAAAATGCATTCAATAAACAGCATTCTCATATGTACATATGTACAATATTTATGTATTGCGCTCATTAGCCTTGCGCACCGGCACAAGTTCGCATTGTTCACACAAATCTTTGACATCGCACCGTCGACAGCGCACACATTCCTTTTATTGTTTACTCACGCTGCTTATTAGCCTAGCCTTTCATATCTTATTTATGTGACCCCAATTATGGAACAGGGACAATGTACTCGCCTTTACCTTGCGGCCTACAATGACAACAAAAGAAACACCCCCATTTTTCACACACACACACACACACACACCAATTCAAGTTATCGCTTTTCGTCGTATTGCCATATATACACCGACGCACACATCCATATGTACGAGGTTTGTTGAAAGGAAAATGTGAATTTTTGAAATTTTTTTTAAGTACTTATTCTATATTATGATTCATTAATATCTATTTTGTCCCCTTCAAAGTAGTCCCCATCGGACATAATACACTTATGCCAAGAATTTTCCAATCCTACCAGCACTTCTGAAATGCGCTTTTCGGTATAGCCATCAGCTCTTCGGTTCTGACTTGATCTCATCAATTGTGGTACAACGTTCGCCTTTCATTGGTTTCTTCAGTTTTGGGAATAGGAAAAAGTCGCAGGGAGCCTAATCAATCGTTTGAACAAACCCGGATCGTTGTTGACGTCATTCAACAACTCCTGAGCAATACTAATGCGACATTGCTTTAGCTCAAAATTTAGCAATTCTGGAATAAACTTCGCTGCCACACGTTTCATGCCCAAAACATTCGATTAAATTGAATAGCATGAACCGATTGATATGCCAACATCCTCTGCAACTTCCCTAATAGTGATTCGACGATTTTCAAGAACAATTTTTTTTCGCTGTTTCGATGTTTTCTTCGCCTATTGACGTGGTCACACCTCCAGTATGCTGATCGTCATCGACATCTTCTCGGCCTTTTGTAAAGCGCTTGTATCACTTTTTTGATACAAAGTGGGCTCAGCGAATGCCACAGTCAACATTTAAAGAACCTTGGCGCACTTTATTCCATTTATTTCGCAAAATTTAATATATATTCTTTGATGCATTTCTTTCAAAAGTCAAAAATTGAAGAGCACACGAAAACGTGGCTAACCTTTTCTGTTGTCAAAAACATACTACTAATCGAAATGGGCTCATAATGCAAGCGCATGATAAACATAAGTGTTCGATTATAACAAACACAAAATATCGAAAATCGAATGTACACAGCCCGCGAAAAATCAAAATTTACCTCTTCCTTTGAACACACCTCGTATGTGCTTCTTTGTGAATGAGCAACGGTATGCATCGCAAATTAAGTTTCCGTGCAAAAACAATTTTTTTGTTATATTTTCGGTGTTTACTTTCCATTTTACTTTACACTGTTTACCTTTCTCGTCGTCAGCGTCAAACATTTGCGATTGTTGCACTTAAAAAATCTAAGAAATATGGCAAACTTTAAAAATATAATTTATTCTGTCGCAAAAGTAAATAAAGTCGCACACTCGAGTAAATTACTTGCAGAATTTATTACCCTGCGAAATGAATAAAAGTTTGCCAGATGTCCGACAGCTTCACTTTTTCATACGAATATTGTCAAGACTGCTTTCCAGAAGGTCTGGGGGCATACTAAAGGAATTGAAATATGACAGCTGCAGGTGGCAGGACAAATGGAAAAAATAAGAAAAAGTAATGCTGTCTGTATCACAGACGGTAAACCTTTTCGAGTTGTGAAATGTGATTTATATTTTATTGTTTAATCTCGATTTTGTGCAGAATGAGTTTGCAAAGTAAAATCATAGCTGTAAATTTAGTATCAATCTTTACTGAACTTACAAACACAATCAGTTCCTTGGTTGTCCTTTACATCACATATTTTAGTTCCTTATTTTAAGTTGTTACAGGAGTTAAAAGAAATTATTTTAAGAAAGAGTAATTATATATACGTATATTAAGTAGATATTACATTATATTATAGGAGAATTTTAATTCATAGTTGAGCCGCCAGCAAAATCCTGATAACTCATAACCACAAAAGCGAGGTAATTGATTTTGATATTGTTAAAATTTAAGTAATCACAAACAATGCCTTGCCTACATTAAGACTCATAGTATTAAAGTCACATCCATTATTATAATACAATATAATAAAATATGATTTTCTACATAATTTTATTATTTTTCGTTGAAATCCTGAGTTGAGGTTTTATTTTAGACTCTCCGCGTACAAGGCCGCGCAGAAATGTAGGCAATGTCTAATTGATAGAATGCGATTATAAAAATGTCATAGAATGAAAATAAATGAAATCGCCAGTGACACAATTATGGTTAAAATACATCCCATTAATAATAAATATTAACGACGTACAAATTATCGCGCTTCCACTATGTTACCTTCTAGCATTTGTTTTTATTAAATTATCGATGACTGAATTAGCGTCTCATTAACATTGTCGCCACACCTATCTACATACGATTTTTTCCCAACTTAGTGCCACTTGCTAAATTTGTACTTGGTCACATTTCACAATGTTCTTTCTTACTCGCACTCACTCGATTTATCTCTTCGCCGTTCGAAGGGCATTACTAAGGACGCCCCAGTTCTGTCTTGTCTTGTGTTTTTTCTAAGCGCCTAATTATCAAGTTAGCGCTTTTATTACACGATAATTTGGCGTCACTGTTGGCTGACGGAATTGTCTGTCTGCGATATGTAGTTACACATATCGTATATGTTAATCGTTGATCGATAAGCCAACAAACTGAATGCCGTCTGTCTATTTCGTGGACTAGCATAGTAAGATTTCGACTTGTCTGCTTCCAGCTTTTGTTCTATATTATTTATTTACTATACATATATACATATGTACTCTGTGTGTAGAGATGTCTGATGTTGGTTTGTATGGCTTTTGGCACTTGTCATCGCGACAATGAGTCAGCAATAGCAGCGTCAGCAGCAATGTCACACCAGAATAACCCTGGCTAAAAAGCCACATGCGTATGTAAAAATGTATATATGTACGTCTCGCACACATCCACACCTATACAAATATACCATATATAAACTGTTTTGAGAGACTTGCTGTCTATGCTATGCTCTAATGCTTTCAAAATAATTACGCCTGTGGCATGCCTCGTCGAAGTGAAAAAAAGTGTTTTTGTATTTCGGAAATAAATATTTGCATTAATATAATATTACCCTGACAGTAACAGTCTTTGGCTAACCCTGCCGACCTTTTTAAATTAAAGAAAATAGCAAAACTAAATTATCGACTTGTTATACCTCAATTCTACCAGTTTTCGGGTGAGCTTAGCGAAGAAGCATTATTTCATCTGGTAATGAGCATGAGATGGTGTATCGTCGCTTTTGTAGAAGATAGAGTTAGATTTGTATATGATTCAACTTGTTTTGATGACGAGATATTTACTTTGTACTTGTGTGAATTTAAACTGATGTGGTGACCTTTGGTGTGATATTGTGTTATGCGATCTGTAATTGGTAGATATATCCTAATCAGGGTATATTAAGTTGGCCACGAAGTTTGTAACACCCAGAAAAAAACGTCGGAAATAAAATATATACATACTTGTAAATGATCAGCATGATGAGCTGAGTTGATTTAGCGATGTCCGTATGTATGAACTAGTCCCTTAGTTTTTTAGCTATCGATGAATGAAATTTTGCACCTGTCCTTTCCTCACTAAGAATCTGCTCATTTGTCGGAACGGCCGATATCAGACCACTATAACATATAGCTGCCATACAAACTGAACAATCGGAATCAAGTGATTGTATGGGAAGCAATAGTTCAGATCAGATCACAATAGCATATAGCTGCCATAAAACCTGACCGATCGGAATCAAGTTCTTGTAAGGAACCTTTTGTATTTGCGAAGGATATTATAGCTTCGTTGCAACCGAAATTAACGTTTTCTTGTTATATATTTTATATACATATGTATGTATAGTGATATGTATTTTTATTTATTTTTTGATAAAAGTTTATTACACATGATTGGTTTTTTGTTTTAATATACAATTTTATTGTTTTAAGAACAATTTGGTGTGCAATTTTTTTTCTTTCGTAAGTATTAATCAGTTGATGTGACATGCTGCGAGTCATATCATGTGATGCGATTATTTGACTACAGGATGTGATGTTAAATAGCATTATGCTTTAAATATATACAGCTGTATTATTTTTTCATGATATAAACGGATGTATGAAAAAGTTTATGATTTAATTTCAAAAGTATATGATTTGATAATTTACACATATAATTGCTTTGACTTGATGCGATTTGATACGTTGTGATGTACAGTGATTCGAAGGAATGTGAAGTGGTAAATTATTTACCTATGTTATATTTCATATTTGTGTTGGTACGAATTAATTGAAATATTTGTAGGTACTTATATAACACCAAACTATACATCGTTAATCCAAGTCGTTATAAGCAGTGTAAGTGCCGCGATGTCTCAAGGTGGTGTGTTGTGGATTTTAGTTTAATTCTCAATTGGATTTTCATATTATATGCTTTTATACTCATAACAACTTGATCAATAAATATCCTATCATTTTCTTATTACAGATTGTTATCCAAAACGCCTTCAAGATGCCAAATGAAGTAGCAGTCGTATTGTCCTTCAACAGGCTGATGCCGTTAGCAAACACGTCGCAATAGTTTGCAATTATATAAAAATGACTTAGAACTACGCCAAATCGTTTAGGGACGACTGAAATTGATTGATATTTATTACACGTACAATGCAGTTGTGATTGAAAGCGAAGAAGCACTGCGCAGCTAATGAAAAATGGTTTAGTAAACTCTTCAAACATCTACGCATAAAGTATCACATATCCCACTCTACTAGATTTCTAACAACAAATATCTTCTGATACTGATATACTAATGTATACTTAATTGATATAGTCTCCTTTAGAAATCAAAAAATACTCATTCTCCGTGAACACATACTCTACGCACAAATCGCCAATATGAATTCCGTAATTTCCGCGTTTAAAGCGAAAAAGAATTCCAGCAATTCAGCCACCGCCAATGACAAGTCCACTAATAACGTCGGCACTCTGAACACCACCAGCTCCGTCAGTGCAAAGAAGAAGGCAATTAATGCACAGGATAACGGTTATCAGTATCTGCGACACATACGGGAAATCGAATCCGCCACCAAGATGTTGTCGCCCGTGGTGGTGGTCGATGACTTCCGACCGCCTTGTGTCGATGTGGTCGACCACGCGCCCGCCACCGTACGTTTGGCTGCAGCCTTGGATTCGACATTACCAGCCGACTACAATATGAACGGCTCCAAGTGTTCGATGTTGAATGGTAGCGCTGTTGCGAGTGGTGATGAAATGATGGTGCGAGTGGGAAATATGAATGCAACTAATTTAGTAGCAAATGTGGAGAATGGCAATTGCAATGAAACACCCGCCAGCAAGACGATGACAAACGGGCAGACTCAGAGTCCACCAACGCCCAGCAGTCCGGTGGCGCAGCTGCTCGACGCTGACGATGATGAGTCAGAGCACTCGACGGCTGCATGCACGAGTAGCTCCAGTGAGCAAAGCAACAGCACAGTGGTGCATAGTCCAACGGGCTTACATGTAGCGGGGACAGCGGGTGCCACAGTCGCATCGACTGCACAACCCAGTCCAGCAAAAAGTCTGCGCAGCAATTCATCAACATCGTCCTCATCATCCACCTCCACCTGCACCTCTACCAATTCTGCCGCCAGCACATCAGCATCTTCATCTATTGCCGCCTTATGCAATTCAGGACCGAGTTCGTGCAGTTCGTCTACCAGCTGTGACGCAACTACGCTAGCCAACTCTTCGCCACACAATTCCACACTAACGTTGTCGTCAACGAGCAGCGGTGCTAACGTCACATCGGCTTCATCTTCGCCAACAGAGCAGCTGAACAGCGCCAATGCAGCAGAGGCGGATTATGTGCCTGCGTTTCTAAAGTCTGCGCCTGTCACATTGCCCATTATCATGCCGAATGGCAACAGTAGCTTGGCGACGATGCCACCCCACTACCACGGGTACGGCATGAATGGTGGAGGCGGTGCGGGTATCGGTGTGTGCGGTAGCACACCCGTTAATTCGGCATCAAGTACTCCGAAGCACGTGCGTTATCCCAAACCGCGTCTGAGTTTAAGTCGCTTCATCAATCATTCGATGCCGTCGGTGCATGGACGACCGAATCTAAGTGTGGCAGGCGGCGCAGCGACAGTCGGTGCCGGCGCGTGCGGTGCGGCGGGAACAAATCCGCCAAAGCGTATTTCGACGCATCAGCGGAATTTGAGTCTGGACTTTAGGTGAGTAAACGACAAAGTTCTCTCTCTACATTCACTTCCAAATCACATTTAATGCAATTTATGGAACGTGCAACGTCTTTGAAATCAGTGAGGCAGAAGTTTCTAAATTAAATTTAGCATTGCTGCAAACCATTGCTCTGTGCGGAATAACGATTTGTCATTGAATTCTAGCGACAACTGCTTAGCGAGGCGCTTAATAGTTTCATGTAAAAAAAAGTAAGTCGAGAAAAGCTATTTGTTGCATTTATTCGCTATATCTTTGCACCAAGAACTACTTCATTCGCTGAAATCAACGCTTTCTGCCTTATGCTCGCAGTATGCTCCACCGTTTTATTGTAAAGGCGCCACTGTCTGCATTATGACCGCAAATATATTCAATTTTCCGCTCTCTTGAATTTCCACTGAAAACTGATTTGCATCCGGTTATGACTTGTAATTAAAACCACAAAAAATATTTCTATTTAATGATTTCTGGTTAGAATCTGTAATGCGTCATCTGGTTTAAAGGTGGAAGTGGTGTCTCGAATAACTCGGAGTATAACATTTGAAGTTAAAATTGAAATATTTTGTTTATTGGATTTTGTGGTTTCATGTTAGTTGTGAAATATTTAAGAATTTATTTCTAAAAGAATTACAAATTAAGAAAAATTACAAATCCCAGCTTTATGAAGAATTTGTTCGAAAATGTAGAAGCTTTATTTTCTCTTCGGAGAACTGGAAGCATTCTTTAATTAAACATGTTAGTTTTAATTTTGCATTTTTACGCATAATGGCTGAAGTATATTCGCCTGCAAATCAGTGACATCCGCCACTTTTGAACCAAAATTTTTTTCAAAATGACAACGAAAGCGATTAAAATTTAATGGCAATGCAACTGAGGAAATAAACTGCGTTCATCTATATGTTTTTCGGTTATTAAATTTAATTTCCCTCAGCGCGAATGCTTTCATTTATGAAAGCCATAAAACTTTATGAAAGCTCTGCCGTAAAAAGTTGTTATGAAACCGAACTGTGTTATTATTTTTTAATGAAACGCATATACTATGTTTGTATCCTAAAACATATTGATAAAAGTTTTTTAGTTGTGTTTTTATTTAAATAAAATCTAAATCATTACACAATTCCCGCTTAAACCTCGAACACTCACATTCATCTAGGTGTGCGTATGTGCAAATATATACAGGAATATCCTTCACTTTTATTAACCACTTGTTTGTGGCTAATTTATGCGCGGCCAACCCCAAATCGAACAAACACAACTAATCAATTAGCTTACAAAGTGGATTCTGCCGACTGCTTCTCACACTTAAAATACATTTTGAAAAAGTTTATACAAGCGAGCCTTGCCAAAGGGCCACATTCCATACCTTTTATATGTATACGTGAATGTACATCGGTATAGATAGTATAGATATGACAAAAGCACAACCACTTACTAAGGGGGAAGTAGCCCTAGGCATCACTGAATGCAAGGACAAATGTACATCTAACCGAGTCCAAAAGTAAAGTTTTATAGATGCATATATGTAAGTATGTGTGCGCGTTTTTGGGTGTTGGCCTACGCAATTAACGAATTGACCGAAATACTCACTAACAAAGGCCAATTCATTAGGCAAATAGAGTAGGTCTTTTATTTCCGTCACAAAAGCGCATAGCACACAATGTCAAAAGAATAAAGAAGCACAATGTCAAAAGAATAAAGAAGCACGAGTAGAAGCGTGGTCTATACATATATATAAATAAATAAAATACCAAATTGAGGGTGATGTACTGGCTTTTAAAGAGACATGCTAGTGGTATGGTAATCAAGGGTCGAACATATTCTCTGTAGGTATGGACATATGTATGTGGATGGGATAAATAGGTGAATTGCAATTGTAAACAAAACTTAAATGCGCAACAGGCAGAATAGAGCGAAGAAGCTTTTTTAATACACTGCTTTATGGGTTTTATGCAGTAAAGAATTACAGGATTGTGTAGTGCATAGATAGATAAATTATACGTCCTTTACTGTGATTCAATCCATTAGACATACAATTTGCATAAGAAACTATATTTTAAATGACAAATCTTCATGTATCATGATTTCTTTATGGTTTGTGAAAACCCTCTACAATCAAGCTGAGCTTAAACGAGCCAAATTGAGTGAAAACATCTCTCGATGCCACCACACTATGACACACTTGCGTATGTAAGAGTAAGAGTATGTAGAAGTCAAAATTCTTGATTTTGATAGCTAAACGTCCTCAACACCTGCCATCAGTATGTTTACTGCGTGGCAAGTGGCAAGTCCTGTTGGAAACACTATCCCTTATCCGTAGCATCTATGCCTCAAATCGCTGGCAGTGATGCCAAGTAAACCTTTAAAATACACGCAAATGCATTTCCATTCTTAAAGCACCGACCATCCGCATACCACAATTGTGGCCTCAGCACTTCGACCTAGCCAATGCATTCGCAATTGCAACAGTACACTCGTAAAACACCAACACAACGAAATGCAATGAAAGCATAAGCAATTCTATGAATGCCAAATAATTTCGTATTCAATGATGTGCCACGTGAAGCACCCAAAGGAATATAATTAAGAACGTGGAAATTGAATGAATACAACCGAAACGCAATGTCGGTATAAAAAGTGCTGAATTGGAGAAGCGATGAGATCGGTGCAGGCGCAAGTGAATGTCCTCGACGTAGTAGATAGCTTTTCGTAAGCAACCGTGTTGTTGGTTTGTTGTTTGTAGCGCCGTGCAAGCGCTGGCTTAGTAATGTCGAATCGTAAATTAATACAGTTGTACAAGAATACCTACACACACACACGCATATATATGTGTGTTTTAGATTGGTTTGTTTGCCTACGCGTCGACAAAGGATACATTTGCGTAATTGCATACGTCACATAGCAGATAGTGAATTGCTGTTGCCGACACCACCGACCCCAACATACCCGCTCCAGCCGTAAGACACACTTATGTGCGTGCATCGGTTTTTAATGGAAATTGAATGCCAACTCCAATGAATTTGCGTCGGTTCTTGATCGTTGTTGGCGCCTAGCAACAGTTTCAAATGCTTATGACTTACGGACTTTAGCTGATTTCAATTTAGCTTAGTTAGATTCGATAGCTTAACTTTAGGCAGAATTATTGCTGAAATGTTTGAGCACACACTCGTACATGTGAACTGAAATTGAATCTTGTAGGCTTAGATCTCTTCACAATTTTCTATGAATATTCAGCCTCGCTAGAGCAATACAGCTTTATTTCGCTCTCTTCTCTGAATGAGAGCGTTTTTTGATAGCCTTTGTATTATTTCGGATTATTACAAAACAATAAAAGACAATGTTGTCTCAATTTGTAAACTCAACTAACCAAAATACGTGTGTCCTATGCTTATCAGGCCCGAAATGTACAGTAGATGATGACATACAATAATTCAAATTTCACGAATGCTTCCCACGCTGACATGGTAATAATAATTTAATAAAAAATCGTATTTCTTGTCAAAAAGTAGCTTAATTAAAATCGATTACCTCGCCAATGTCGTTGCAAACATTAACCGTAAGGGCAAATATTTCCACTTACTTTAAAACAGGAACAAAATATATGCTCAAATCAGAAATTTCGCTTTCATTCTGAGTCATGAGTTTTCTAGTTTTTTACTGTTCACCATTATTTCCGTAAAATTTTTCGTGTATTTCTTTAATTTGTCCCCCGTCCCCCTCTGAGTGTAGACGCCATTTTTTTCAAGCCTGAGAGAAGAATTGCAGTTCACTCTATTATTTTAGCGCGCCAAGGCGCGTCCAACGTAATTGACAAGCCACACAGACCAGCGGGGGAAATGAAAATAAGCGAAACAAATGAGTAAAGAATTAAAACAAAAACACTTTTCTTTATTACCTTTCGTGTACTTCATTTTGGGCGTAACAATTTGAAACTGGAAAGCACTGCGGGGTGGTACTTCTACAACATATTTGCGGTTACAAACTTTGACAGTCTACAGGTGGGTGAGAAGGAGGACAGGTGTGTTGGTTCGCATACTTTACGATATACATAAATAGTTTGGCGTCTAGTTTGGCGTCCACTTTGGCGCCATTCTTCCAATTGACGAGCTTTAGAAATATGCATGGCGCCTACTGCCTGCCACAAGCAACACGCAATAGACTTACAGTACGTACAGCTAGTTGAACGGTCTGCAGTACACGCCGCACCCCAAAAAGGAAGTTGCCATTTACTTACCTTCAAGTAAATGTCTATGTGCATATAAGGGTGAGGCGGAAAGTGGCGTGTGTCATGCGACTAACACAACGATTGCCACTTCGTGCGCTTCAATCAACTGTGCCATGCATTTCGTGTATGTCTTCGTTTGCCATCTTCCAATTAGTGAGTCGAAGCCTTGGCTTTGGTGTTCAATGACAAATGGATGGAATTTTTCAATATAATTTTATTTCTTTTGAGCGACAGTATCTCGTTTCTAATGCCATTATTTTTATTTTATTTTTTCCTCCTAATTACTTTAATCTAGCAAGTCGGATATTTTTTAAATGATGCATTGCAAAATATTATATCATACTTTTAGTTAGTGAGAAAACGCAGCCGAAAAGTACAGTCACAGTCTGTAAGGAGAGTTGTGATAATGTCTCAATGTGTTTGTATGCTCGTCTAAGGAATAAATTTCTGTAGGGCATCAAAGGAGGCCTTTAAATTCATAACTCATTTTTCTTATCCCCAATTTCTGGAAAAAAATTTAAAGTTAATTTGTTTAGCTGCATTCTTAATCCTGAAACATCGTACCTTTATTCATCTTTCAGAGCCGATATTTGAATTGAAATGCACGAAGAAAAAAACCCAATTTCTAGAAAAAAAATTTATTAATTTTAAAACCTGGAAAATCATTTTAAGTCAAGACGACATAATTAATATAATTAAACCATATGAACTACTTGGGACTTTGGGATTCATTTATATGGCGTTAAATGACAGCTATGTACCCTTAATTTCCAT